CCCCAAAACCCCAAAACCCCAAAACCCCATACTAGAATTATCAAATTTTGAGCATATTTCAAGTTATATAAAAGAAAATTAAGGATATTATCAGATATGATAGATACCAAACAATAAATAAAAGCTATCTAGAGTTTCATACAAATTTGAATTCTTCATTGTGTTTCTTCAATGCATATCTTGGCAAGTTAGCAACTTTGACAGGAATCTTGTATTCTCCTGGTCCAGGAGATCCGTTTCTACCCTAAGGTCCCCTAGAACCTGTTCCAAATGAAAATTTAGGTGCTCGTTTGAGGGCTTTCAAATTGTCATATTCACCTGGTCCTGGCTAAGAAGTATTATGAGAAATAGTTTGGAGTCTTTAACCAATTCTATAAAATAAATTAAAATTTGAGTGATTACGAATAAGCTGGCATTTTTCTGATTTTAAAGCTAGCATTTTAGTCATATTTACCAGGTCCAGGTGTTTCATTCATTGATTTATCTTTTGGTTTAATTCCCATTGCAAATTTATATTACTTATTCTCAGAGTTTATAGTATTATATGTTCCTGGACCTGGAATCCTCTCACGACTATAGTCTTTAGAACTTCTTTTGCTAGTGCCGAAACCGATAGCTGTTGATTATCCCTTAGTAAATGTATTTGATGGATTATAAGTATGAGGATCAGGAAAATTTAATTTATCTTTCAAAAAGTTTTGACTTCTTTTACTAGTTCCAATTTTAAACTTGGGCGCCTGCTTAATGGTAAAATCTACAGATGTTTCATAGTATCCAGGTCCAGGGCCTTTCATATTTCTTGTATCTTGATCATTTAATTTCGCAGTCATATTTGCAGAGATAGTAGCGTAATGTCCTTCAAAACCAATAAAATACTTAGGCTCATAAGTGCCTGGACCAATATTCCCAGAACCTAGTCTATCTCTAGATTCTTCTCAACTCCCAGTCCCAAATGGGAATTACGGTGTGTGCTTTTTAAGTACTTCATCTTCTAGCGTTTGATACTAGCCAGGTCCAGGATTATTAAATTTTTCTTTTAAATTAGCAATATCAGCTCTATTTGATTTCCCGATGCTAAATGAAGGCTATTATCTCAGTTTCATTTAGACTAAATTTTCAAGACTATATTACCCAGGACCTGGGTTCTTTTCCTTTATTGCATTTTTAGATGTGTTTGGGCGAATACCAATTACAAATTTAGGTCCCTCTATCGCTTTTGATGGAATTTCATATAAGTCTGGTCCTGGAATGCTATTAGATTTATTCAGAACTAATGGTCTTTGTTAAGTTCCAAAGCCCCATGCGGTTGAAGTTATCTTTGTGAATGATACTGATGGATTATATTGCCCTGGATCTGGCTTTCCCTCTATTTACTTTTAACTCATTATGTCTTCCCTTTTTGCCTTGCCTATTGATTGAGTAGGAATTGTCTTCATTGTTTTGTTGAAATCTGGATAATACTATCCAGGTCCAGGCAGTTCTGGAGCATCTTTAGCCAATGAGACATTTTAGCTTTTGCCTAGTATTGATTTTTATTATCCTTCATTGCCTATCAGTTCTTTTTGTTCGTAATATCCTGGTCCAGGAATATCCTTCTTACCTTTTTCAACTAAATCTTCTCTTGAAGCTGTCGGAAAGCTATTAGATTAAGGACAGAAAATTACAAAAATCTTGGACCCTGCTTCAATACTTTAGCATAATCTTATACATAATCACTTGGGCCTGGTATTATTTATTTTCCATTGTTTTCCATTGAAGGTCTAGTACTTGATCCAAATTTTAAGCCACTAGTATTACTTTAATTTTATACATCATAATCTCCAGGTCCAGGCTACAAATTCTTCGATCTTTCCCTGTATCAGCTAGCCATGCTAATTTGATTTAAAGACTTTCATGGATAATACCTATATGCAATTGTAGGTGGTTTCATATCAGAATGATATTGTCCTGGGCCAGGTAAGTCTGTCATTTAATTCATTGAATTATTTGGCTTTATTCCAATTGAAATGCCAGGATGCTCAATTAACTACAATCAAATTATATTATAAAGATATACCATAGATGGGATTTCATAAGTTTAAGGACCTGGTCCATTGGCTGATAAATTTAGATTCTACGAACTTTTAGAGGCAATTCTATATTCAGTTAACATGATTAGTTTGTTTCTTACGTCCATTTAGGGTATTCCTTTTTTACTTTTAGGGTTATCTCATAGGATCCTGGACCATTACTAAAACTATTATTTTTTTGCAAGTTCTAATCTAAATTGTTTTAAGCATGCTATTTAGTTACGTCGAGGGGCTTTGCCAATAGAATATGCAACAACTGACATTTATAATACTAATTTTTTAATAATTTTCCTGCAAACTTGAATAATTCATTAAACGGAAATATTAAATTCATTACTATAAATCATTTTTGCAGATCGGGGTTTTGGGGTTTTGGGGTTTTGGGG